GCGGATTTCCTTTTGATTTAAGCAAAAATCTGATTGAATCAAGAGTATTTTTTCCTCTCAGTGTTCCCTGGTAAAAATTGGCGATAGGAGCTACGTTTCAAAATACCATAGGAGTTCTTATAGCCGACTAAAGGAGGCTATTGAAAATCATATGGCTGGCTGTAGAAAGCGGGGCAAATCACATAGCCGGTCTATACGAAGCTATAAAAAAGTATACAGTCGGGCTATAGTTCCTATCGCCGGGCTTTACATTTTATCGTCATTGGCTATAAAAGGATATAAGAAATTGTGTAGAAATTCGTGTGCTTTGGAAATCATCAAGTTTGATACGGAACTACCTTAATATTTACAAAACACACATTATATTTTCCCTTAAAACATATTTTTTTTTTTTCATTAATTGAAATGAGAATAGTCCGTACAGAGTGTGCAAACATTTCAAAATCATGAGTTGGAAAACGCTGACTCCGCGAGATTTAATATTAGAGTCTAACACAAAGCGGAGCGGCGACGCACTGGCGCCTACAAACCTAACTGGGATACTTCACGCATTGCGCAATGCGTGAAGTATCCCTGTTAGGTTTGTAGGCGCCAGTCTGCCCGCCCGCCGCGCCGCAGCGTGCCACGGCGTCTGAAGCAACTATTTCACACCAGAGGTATTGCACAGTATCAAACGAAATTGAAGGCGCTCCAACATATTAAGAATGACAGGCATCCTTCAAAAGTGCGGAGCTTTCCTCGCAAAATAAATCGAGATACTACGGTGCAAAAAGAGAGCGGTAGTCCAAAAACTAACTAAGTCCTAGTATCCATATTTAGTAACGTTTAAGATAAACGTTATCGTCTGGATGTTGCTTAATCGCCATCGGCTATAAAAGGCTATAAGAAATTGTACAGCCAGCTATACAGAAGCTATTGGAAATCTTACAGCCGGCTTTAGGTCTATAGTATTTTGGAACACACATTCTACTGCCAATTTTCTCCAGGGTTTTCAAGAGTCTGGACTCTAGATACAATGTGTTTTTTTTCCAGTGTAGTAATGATAATCATTCAAATTTTTTCGCATTAATTTTCAAAGAGTTACGTATTGTAACGCTTTCAAATGATTTATTGCTCTACTTCTCAATTAATATTATGTAAATTCCGAAGATGTGCTGCCTGTTACGCGGTAAAAAGTCAGCGTAATAGACAGCACATTTTCGGCCATTTATATATTAAAATTGAAAAATAGAGCGATAAATCGTTGAAAAGCGTTACAACACGTAACCTTGTGTAGATTAATGCAAAAAAATTAGAGTGATTATCATTTCTACTAAAAATATGACCGAAAAATGTGTTGTCTGATACGGCGACGCAATTTCCAGTTATCGTGAAACCACCCTCATGCTTTATTTTTGAACGGAAAAATACTCAACGGCAATTCTTTAAGACTGTCGTGACTTTTCTTCCTGTGCGAAGAAAATTCTGCATAAATTTCAAGGCATGATGTCTATCTGTTTCCCTTTGAAAAATTAACATCGAGTTGGAGATTTTCAGATACGTGAAACAGGATATGTGATTGCGGACTTACGCCGTCGATATTTCGCTTCGACAAGTACTCGATTCCCAAGGAGCTTTTTTGAACAGGAAAATCGTGATATTTTGAAATTATGTCGCCATTTTTTTAAAAGATTTTTTGGCGACAAAATCTCGAGGATCATCAACATCTGAGCAACTATCCTCAATCTTGCCGCGATTTTATCTCTGTTAATCGCGTTCGATAAAATTGTAATTTCATCTCTATATTTATCACGATTTTTCGTTCGATAATATTGCGATGAAAACGCCGTCGATAAACGTACGAATTTATTGCAAATTCATGCGATGAAATCGCAATTTTTTATCCGACAATATTGCAATAAATCGACGTCCATAAATCGAAGTACGTTTTCCGATCAGATCGATTAAGTTTTTTGTTTAACGCAACTCAACGCGATCACTGCCATTTGGGACTTCTGGAAAAAATCATCTCGGGCAACAAAAAAAAAACTGAGTTCGGCTGAAAATGTTTGGTGCATTGAAAATGTTTTGGGCGTAGATTATTTAGTTCTCAAAAATAGTGGCGAGACGTGAATGATCGATTATCGATATTTCTCTATCTGAAGCTATGGTAAAAAATCGATTATTAAGGCGTTTGTTGTAAACACCCTGTTTATCGATCTTTTTCCATAGGTCTAAATGGGAGATCAATCGATATATCGCAAAGCACGCCACGCTACTGCTCAAAAATACAAGTACCTAGATAGTGAAACTCTCGAACTAAGTATCTTGGTTGTGTGTTAGAAAATCTCTGCTCCGATTATAATTTTTTAAGGAGAGAAAATCACCGTAATTTTATGAACTTTTCACTGAATTTAATTCGCGCAGTGGAGAAAAAATCACGGAAATTTTTAAAAAGTGACGCCGAATAGTTTTTCAATTAGGTAAAACCTTAAGTATGACAGGAACGTCAGTATACGTGGTTGGGGAGTTTTACCGTCAAAATCCTATTCCCCATCGACAAAAATATGAAACTTTTCGATGCTTTTTAAACCTTGGGGCTGGGCACTTTTTGAAATGGAGGAGAGTTCGGAGCCACTTTTTCAATGAAAGATGGAAAACTTTTCTTATCAAAGAAAAAACGAGCTCATATGATTCTGACAGAAAATGTTCTGCAATTAATAAAACAGAATTCTTATTTCTCGATGGAGTTAAATATCGTTTCCAACGCAGACTATCATTTGGACTGAGTTAAGCAGAAAGGAACCAACCCACATTTTGGGAAAAATTGAGTTATGAGTGGTTTTGAACTCAACCACTGCTCTACTATCTATCGCCAAAAATTCAAAGTTTTTGTTGGAGCAAATTTTGCAGAAATTGAACTTGAAGTTTAACTTTTACATTGAGTCTTATGCAGGAGCTAAACTTAAAGCCTCTTTTTCTCGGTTCGATCCCGATGTGGCTTGGTTCCTTTCTGTTTAACTCCGTCCATTTGTGATGAAGTCTCGCTACAATATGTTGTACCAGGAACACTACTGATTCGAATATTAGATGCTACAAATATTCGGCCTCTGAGACCACGCTGGGAGGTATCTTTTCACGATGAAGACGTTTCTTGTGTGTCGAAACGACTACGCATGGTAAATGGACACCCCGCCACCGCGCAAACCGAACTGTGTACAGCACAATGCGTGAAGTATCCCGGCAGTCTTGTAGGCGCTGTGTGTTTCTCGCCGACAGTGTTCCCAGGTGCTCCTATCTTAAAATGTCCGTACGCTCTCCGGATGGGCTCGTGTATATCCGTGCCGCTCCGTGCTCCGTCCGTGTTCCGTGAATTCCGTTTCCGTTTCCGGTTCCGGCTCCGGCTGTTTTGTTGTTTTGTTGAGGGCGCACGGACATAAATGAAATGACTGAATTTTGATAAGAATACAATATAATTAATGCAAAAAGTATCTAATTTGTTCCCAAACGATACCCGGCTTTCATACTAAACATCATTGTATCAATAACTTACGCAAAAGTAATAAATATTGCAAAGAAAAGCGGATAAACAGACGCACGGACAGGGCCGGGCGAGCGTACGGACAAAATAAGATAGGGAAAAATTTTCCCATAAGGTTTTTGTCCGCACGCTGTCCGCGCGGGTATAGGGAATGTCCGCGCGGGTATAGGGAATGTCCGCGCGGGTATAGGGAATGTCCGCGCGGCGCGGAAATATCCGTACGCCTGGGAACACTGCTCGCCGATCGCTGCTGACCACACTGTTTTTGACGCAATGCGTGAAGTATTCATGGAGTCTTGTAGGCGCTAATATGTGCCTCATGCTGACTAGAGTACCTGTATAGCGAGAGTATGGACAGATGTGAAACTCCGAAAATCCATCAGGCCTTCACCGATGCTTCTGCGAATAAAGTTAGGGCCCAGAAATGCAGCCAACCTATGAATTTCAATTATCCAGAACGATTTACTAATACTATTGTTACGAACCGTCGTTTATTAAGCACGTGTTTGACTCAGTTTTTGCATAAATTTACTCAATTTCGCGGAAGAACGCTCATTTCTGTACATTCTTGGCCATCTTGGTTAGAATTGGAATCTGCGGACTGGCAGTGAAATTTTGTGTGTTAGAAGTTGATTAGAAGGGTGGCTGCACTTTTGGGCCCTAAGCCCTCCATGAAGCGATCTGTCCATACCCTCGCTATACAGGTACTCTAATGCTGACCGGCGCGCAGAGGGCTTCTCCTGTCCATCTCAAGTCCTAGTCATCATTGCTCTCTGCGCCGCGCCGCTCCAGGCCAAATTGCGTGTTTGGTTTCTCTCTCAACTTGACTATTACTATACTTTAACTCTCAGGAAATGAGAGATTTTTTCGCCTTTCTTAGTTTGTAATTTTTTTTTTGAATCAGATTTTTTTCTTGATACCTACATTTTAAAAAAATTACAAAATTTGCCGCCATGGGCTGCGGCCCATATGGCCACCCCCTATATCCGGCCCTGATTGCATAGCCATTGAACTGAAGGATGTTTGAGTTTTGACGCTTACCTAATGAATCACTTGATATGCACAAAATGAGAGTCACTTTGTAAGAGTTTTGTGCAGATAATAATGTATGATTAAGATCACGCCTCCTCTAAATGTTCCAGCGGAAAAATCTGTCGACAATCCGGGTCCTAATCACTTCAAGTGATTTGTTGTAAGTTGCCGTTTCCGGTTCCAAAATCACGGGACCTTAGGTAATAGAAAAAATATGTACTTTTGAAGGGTGTAATCGGATTTGTCCTCTTACAAATGGAATAATGTATTTCTCTGAACCACGAACGTATAATAAAATTATGTTTCAAGCCTATGTTTTGAACACTCACCTCGGATTGAGAAGGGGCAGGGGGCGGCAATACGGCTTGAGTGAAGATCGTGAACCGGAAATGGAAACAGTTGTGCGCCGGAAATTGCCTACATTTTTATCAATAGAGGTTATGTTTGATTGTTGATGTTATCTTGTTATCAGCGCCGTTGTCTCTTCCCACTCTTCCTTATAAAAATTCTATGAAATGGTTTGAAATTCAATCATCAGTGTTTCGTGTGCTCTAAGGAGGCAAATAAATTCCGCGAAGGACAAGTCTTTCTTTATATCATCGACCAAGATTTCAAGCATGGATTGTGCCACAAAATTTGTTGTTGGAGAAGCTCCAGAATCGGATGACGAAGAAGGATATTACAAAGTTGATGTTGTAAGCATACTTTTAACTAATCTAATTCTTTTGTACAAGGAGCCATCTGGGATGAATTTAACCAGGTGCCTATCATCGATATGAGGAAATAAGAATGGTGGAATGACTAGACTGATGGTAGCAAGTCTACGGAGGTCTACGGTGTATTTTACTCTACCCTTCTCTTGAATTATGACTTGAGTTATCAAGGAATGATAGTACACTCTGATAAAAAGAAGTTGAATAAATTCAGTGTCAAAAATTAATGTGGATACAACCTGAAAATGTGGAGTACTTGGATAACTTAGTCAGGGAACTTACTCTTAACATTCCAGGAAATATGTTTTTCTTATCATGTTGCACCGCCTCAGTTTGTTGCCAAGTTCAATTGAGTACTTCAACCCTAGGCTATTCTCTCACAAGAATTTTCCAAAAATTGATCGGAGAAGTTTAAGAAAGTCAAAAAATTCCATGTCCAAATTTCTGTGACCACCCTTTTAGTAAACCATCTAGAAATAATTAAAATCAAAGTCATTTAACTTGATATGGCGCTACTCTCAATAAATTAGATATCATATTTTATATTTCAATTAACTGGCCCCAAAACCTGCAGCGCTAGTTTATTTTTGAAAAATATAGTGTAAGCACTTTCCACTCTTGTTTTTTTCCCCCCGATAAATTGTGTATTAACTCTACCGGTACAATTTTTTCAGGAGAAAGTTGCTGCTCCATCAAGTAATGTAGTAGTAGGAGAGGCACCGGAATCTGACGACGAAAGCTCAACATCAGGTACTGAATTCTTTCGCAGCGTATGGCAAATTTTTTCAATGAAGGGTATTTCTATATGTGACATGATAAACTTCACGTTCATCATGTCTCAAAGGTTTTTAAAGCCAAAAACAGTCAAGCTGCGAGGGTTTGTCAATCAATATATTAAACCCTACATCCTCAATTTTCAAACAGGCTGAAAGTCTAATTTTATTTTTTAATTTTTCTCATTCAACACTCATAAACTCCGGAGATGACTAACAACCTACTCATAGATGGTCAAACTGCAAAAGTGCATATTGACAGTGAAACTACCAGACCATATATCTTGGTTTGCGACATTGTAGAAAAAAATGAACAATGTCTGGTCAAAAATTTATGTTTTAAATGAAAAACTTCCCAACGTCAATTCTTCAAAACTTTCCTAATTTTTCTTCTCCGTGCGAGGAAACTCTGTAAAAAGTTCAAAAAAGATGTTGATTTGTTCCTTTTTAAAAAAATGAAATAAGAGAAGGGATTTTTAACACCGCTAACGAGATACATGGTCTGGTGGTTGTACTGTCGATGTTTGTTTGCAGTTTTGCTGATTTCCTTTCATGCTTCATTTTCCACATAAAAAACTACCAATCGTCATATTTTGAAAACTTCTATGATTCTCTATGTGAAGAATATTCGGTGAAAATTTCAAGCCATGATGATAGGTTGGTTTCGTAAAAATAAAATAGATTGGAGCGGAGTTTTTGAGTCCCTGATACGAGATATGCATTTTTGCAGTCTCATCGTTGGTATCTGATACACTAGTGTGCGAGATTTTCTTGGATCAACTTAGAGTATAGCAAAGATGATTTAGTATATTAAGACTGGATCTGGAAATAAGCTCCATAGAGGAAAACCAGGCAAGCTGATCATTGAAATTAACAGACAAAAATGACGAAGAGAAAATGAAGCGATCCTATTGATTCAAGCGGGATTACAAGGGAGAAAGGAGGTAAGTAATAGAATAACTAACGGCAACCAAAGAGAGACCCTATATTAAGTTTATCATTTTCCTCCTTTGTCTATAACAACCTCCTGCTTCAACCAATACAGTGGCTTCATTTCCCCTTCGTCCTCTTTGTTTATTGCTTTGTTGATCAATTTAAATATTCAACCAGCAGTTTCGGATTTGTTCCGTCTGACCACACAAAGCAATTTAAAATAGAAATTTACCCCAACTGGATACATCGCTATGCTGTGCAAGCGTTAGTTGTTTGCTCGTGGTTAAAATAGTGTTTTGATCTCTTTGAATCAAATTTGCAACTATTTTACTTTATTTCATACAGTTTTCTTGAAAATTGGTATTTTTATCACACTTAGCTGCCACTACCAAGAAGTGTGTACTGAATTTTAATTTGCCAATATTTTCCATTTTCTCTTTGCATGAGTAAGCTGAAAACTTTTTCCCCATAATTTGAAAAATTACTCGATTTTAAATTTTCATTGAAGCTCCTCTTAATCATGTAAAAATTTAACCCATCTCGTAAGGAGAGGGCGATCTAGGTATGCAACTTTGCTTACTAAGTGGTAGCTTTTTTTCTCTTTTTAAATAAGTGTGTCGGAAGCTGAGACTTATTTATGAGGCAGATTTTCATTGATTTTTGTGCAGCTTTTATAATTAACCATCTTAATTTTTGGGAACATTGTTTTTTCAGCCATCAAACCCAGTGGAAGTTCTCTTTCCTGTCTACCTGCCATAAATATTGCACCCTCGAATACTGAGCTCAAGCAATCATTCATAATTCCATATAAGTATGACACATTTCTGCATAAAAAATTAAGTAAGTTTCCAATTCCTTTTCTTCTACAAAATAAAACTATAAAAAATTTGAGAAGACAAGGGTAGCAGATAAATAGACCGCATGGGACATTTTGGAACTATACAAAGATGGATCCGAAAGCAATCCGACAACCTTTGCCCTGGCTGCTATTTTTATAATTTTGACTTCTCCTTTTGAGTGGGTCCTAAGCATACCCTAATGCTACTCTTTGCCATATTTTATCGCATAAAACCCACTCAAAAATTTTCATCACCATTTTGCTGAAGCAAGTTATGTTTCCTCATAGTTTTTCTAGTGCATTTTTGTGTTCAATGCATTTCATATCTCGCTAGTTTTTCAACATGCTTGCAATCCTTCAATTGCAGATGGCTATGAAATTCCAATCCTTTATTAATGAGGCCCTACCCGAAATGATAGAAATTATGAACAAAGGTTGGATATAAAAGATAATGAAAAGATCTTAAAATGAAAGGCTAGCAAAGCTCAAATGCTGTGGACTTTGAAAGTTTGGCATGTCCTTCCTCAGCTGATATTGAACAAAAGATCAAAGATGTACAATTGTTAGCATATTTATCACCACGAAAAGCTGAAAACTGTAAACACTTGTGTTTACAAGTGAGAATTAGCCTCTACAAAGGAGTTTCATAAAAACCTGAAATCATTTTTTTGTCATAGTTTTACGCTGAATTTGAATGGAAAGTGTATCCTTCTCTCCTTTTTTTGTTCAACTCAGAATACACCACAGAACTGGATGTCATTTTGTAGTCGGGAACTACAGTTTCTGACTCAGTTTAGAAATAGCATATCTGCCATCAGTTTACCCATGCAGATAGGTGTTTTTATCTACAGCCCAGAAATTGTAGTTTCTTATTGTAAAACGCAGTCCCAATATTCTGACATGCTAAGGAAAAACGAGGTATGAGTCTTCAGGAGTTGGCAAATTTCCTTGGGTGAAATAAAATTTCAGGGAAACTTGTGTATATATCCCTCCTAATTTCAGAAAATTTATTCTGCCCTTTATTCCACAGTGTCTAAAAATTTTCAGGAAAAATATTTCTAAACTTCCTCAATGATGAATGTTTCATTGGATTCATCATCCAGATGTTGACATCTGGATATTTCTACAGCGTTTCTCCTTCGCATGGCAGTATTGTTTACTGAAAAATAGATACACTGGTTATCAAAGCGTATTTCAATAATTTTATAAATCAACTCGTGTAGTTGCATGCTTTGCTTTTTAATCTGTATTTTCCAACTTTCATCCCTGGTTGAGAATGGGCATCTGAAAAATCCAAAACGCTTTAGTTTTTGTATGATTGCCAATTTTTAGCCTTGTCTTATTTGGATTTACAAGTTCTTCTTGCACTTCCAGTGTTTATTCTCATCCTTTTCTCTTTTGCAGGGAGTGACAATGAAGCTGTTTTCAGGAGCATTAGTGACTTTGTTAACAAAACTTTCGGATCTGCGATTAAACAATTAAACACAGCAAATCAAGATTTACTTCAAGCTCAAATTCAGCTACAAGAAGCAGTCACTTGTCTGAAACAAGTCGCAAATAATTCGAGTCAAGTTAAAAGTAAAATTGATTCAATTCTGTCAACGCCATTCTTACCTAACATCAAGATTCAAGTTCCTCCAGCGCTTCCAATAGATTCAGAACTTCTGAAATAACCTGTGATCACTGTTTTAAGCAGTGCAACAGTAGAGTATGGTGCTTTTTTGCAACTAAGCCAAGAGCAAACATTTTATTGTTATAAAGCTGACATATTTTATTACATATTGGGAAACAAAGGGATGAATCCTTTAAGATGGAGAAATGGAAGTCAGCATCTTTCTCTTCAAATCAAAATATTATTAAGGGGGCAGAGGTGCTAAAATGACAATTTGATGCTGAGACAGATTTTTTTTCTTACAAAAATCAATTTTCTCTCATAGTTTTACTGATAAATTTTGATGGCCAAAGTGCGAATCTACGTATCTCCATTGTGATTTTTCAAAATTTCAATTCCACCTTTCCTTTTTTTTCCTCCAGAAGAGAAACAAGGTAACTGACTCCATGGCTTGAAATTTATCCAGAGTATCATACTAATAGAGAGGAAAGATCAAGGAAGTTTTCAAAAAATTACGTTGACTAGTTTTCCAAAGAAAAAATTAAGTTTGACAGGAAGTCTGCAACTTAGCAAGTGGAGATACGTCGTTTCAAACTTTGGCCATCGATATTTTCCCTCACCACTCGTTGAAAATTCATTAAAATGGCTGTGATTTAGTTGTCCATGAAGGGGGCTTAGCTTTTTAAACATTTGTTGGAAAATAGTTGAAAAAATATTTGTTTTGATTCCAAATTTTTCAGACCATGTAGTCAACTGTGGGTCTGTGGAGTCAAAAAATTGCTGTAGAAATATTTAAAAAATATATTTTTTTATCGATACTAATTTCAAAGTTGCTGAATTCTGAGAACGATAGCAGTGAATTGAGGGGCTTAGATGGCATACAGAATTAGTGCAGCTTTTGAGAAAGTTGAGAAATTCATGATTTCAACCAAAACTAGTGTTAAAAATATATATTAAGAAAAAATCACTATCAAAATCTAAATTTTAAGCATCTAAAAGCTAGTTTGAGCTATCTTTCTGCCACAAGGCTCCAGGTGATTTTGCAACTTTAAACATGTATCTCTTAAAATAGTAAAAGCTGTACTTATCCCACTTGTCCTTCAAGTCCCTCAATTCTGTTTTTCATCAGATAGATTTTCTGTATCGTTCTAGCTAATTTCCACAGTGTTTTTTAATCAAACATGATTGGTGAAGCTAGAAAATCACTCATCAGTTTGTGCTGTTACATACTTCCTGTTGTATTTTATTTTTCTCAATGATGGCCAATCATTATCGTTGCACAAAATGTTGTGTTACTCTTCTTCATCCTTTCAAAATTATTCTCGACAATCTTCATGCAAAAATATTGAATATTATTCCCCTGAAAAAATAGATTTTGAGTCTAAATTTTACAAACAACTTTCAAGATTCTAAACATGCTTATAGTTTCACCATTGACTCATAATAAATGCGTGTCAACCACTCACAAGGACTTGAATGAACTTGAATTAATTTGATCAAATTATTTTAGCATAAGAATTTGTTTTTGTACTTTGTTTTTGTTCCATAAAGACACTCTGTTAGAATATAACCTGGTTTTTTACAGAACACATTTATGTTAATTTATACGTTTCCTATCTTTGGCCCTCCCTATCAGTATGGAAAGAGGCAGCATTATTCAACAATATGTAACAGTCGCACCAGTCTACATTTTAACCATGTTGTTCAGAAACTTGATGTCTCAGTTTTTCTAAAAATTGCCATCTTGACCAATCCTGTATAATGCCAACCATTCGTGCTTTTTTATTTGTTCAGGAAAGACTCATTTTGAACCCGAATCAGAATCACTTTCAAGTCGGAGAAATAGTATTTAGCAGGTGCTACGTTGGAAACGAGGATTTGTCCTCTAGTAAATTTCACCATTTTTACCTTTTGTATTTCATTTAGTGCCTATATTTTAGATGTATCATGCATCTTGCAATTAGTGTTATACCTTTGTATCACCATCAAAGGTAACAAACACTTCTCACTAAATTCTTAAGGATCTGGCGTAAATATGGCTACATTTTATCGACAGTCCATTTGAATTTACGTTGCTTTGTTCTTTGAAGAGGTATTAAAGTTTGAACCTTTATCTCCTCTTTCCAGGTTTCTATCTGAAGATTTACAGGATTCACTCTTACAAGTCAATGGTCAAAGTACGAAGTTATGCATCTCCGTTTGCGATATTGCAGACTTCCTGTCCTACTTAAGTTTTTCTTTGGAAAACTAGTCGAAACAATTTCTTAAGAACTTTTTTGATTTTTTTTTGTTGCTAGCAGAATATTCTGTATAAAATTCAAGGTATGAAGTCAGTAGGTTTCTATTTGAAAAAATAAAATGGGAGAGGATATTTTGAAACACTGCTTACATGGTTTCTCGCTTCTGCCATCGAAGTAATAAGAAATGAAATAAAAGTTTCTGTACCTCCGAAACGGTAATTTTCATAACCACCATTTTGTGAATGGCACTTTCCTGCTCTAAGCTATTTTCTATTTGAAACGCTTAATGCATCATATTTATACAAATTATGGTCGAAATTTTGATGCAATATTCTTGAGAGATTTAGGAAACGCTCAACATTGAAAACTGAAAATGGACATTTTTTACTCGATACTGGTTTTTTCGCAGCACTGAACAACTTGAGTTTTTACCTCTGGCATGTCTTGCTTGGTTCTGGCACAAATAGTTTCGACAAGTATCTCCTTGCGAAATTATAGGTATGCTTATTCATTCGTTCTTTGGTTCCATTGATCGGGTACATCCATTGATCGACATGGTATAGGTATAAAATTCAGGAATAACAAAGTACAAATGACGAATCAGAATTGAATTTTTCATAACTCGATGGCCCAACAAGCAACACCAAGTATCTCCATTTGCGAAGTTGCAGACTTCCTTTTATACTTTATTTTTACTTTGGAAAACCAGTCATTGTAATTTTTTTGAAACCTCTTTGACTTTTCTTCTCTATAAGCAGGATATTCCGTGCGAATTTCGAACTACAAAGTTAGCTTGTTCCGCCTCGGAAAAATAAAATAGGGGTAGACATTTTGAAACACCGCAATGGAGATAGTTACACGGCTTCGCAATTTGGCCCTCAATATTTCACATTTAACTTTACCGCCGAAATTTCCAAAACGGTCGTAACTTGTTTTGTATATATACCAACCTAATCATAAACGACACCCATTCTCGCTTTATTCCTAAAACGTAATTTTTGAGCAAAAGCACTAATGTGAGAACTAATTGAGATATGTATTTTTCATTTTAAAAATCAGAAGTGTAGCAATTTTGTAAATTTAGTCGTGCAAAGCCGGAAATGGCTAAGTCAGCCCTCACCCTTGCTCCAGTAACATTTTTTTGTCACGAGGAATTTATTGGTAGTAACGGTGAATTTGGCGGGAATTCATACAAAGCCGGCTTTCTACCTTGGAGGTTATATTTTCAGTTTGCACTTTGCAGTTAATCTACTTCAGAATTTGTGTTTGTGTGATGAATGATTAATAATTTCAAGTTTTATATGTTAATATGTGACTCTCTCAAAGTCTTCGAGGTGATTTTCACTTCCTAGCTTGTTACTGTTACTGAGTCAGTGATTTTTAACTTCATTCTAAATTTTTATCCCTGCCAAAATTTAAAGTAAATACTACGATGGGAGACGACTTGCTCCAGGAAATTCTCACCGTCGATCCAGATGCAGCCCTTAGGCAAGCTATGGCTGCCAAGCAAAACGTAAGAACAGTAAATGCAGAGGTACATCGTAGACCAGTCACCAATCAATCAATTCCTCAAGATGTCCCTAGACGTAACCCGCCACCAACTCCAAGACATCCAACGGCCCCCAGACCGAAGCAATCCTCGAGCGCAAGGCGGAGGAGTGGAGAAGTACAAACTAGAGCCCCTCCGAATGGAGTAATTGATGATAACTTGTCAGAAAGCAATTTCAGCTGTCGCTCAATTCCATTAGGAGGCAGTCACCCACTGCAAGCCCAAGAGCCGACACTTCTCTCGGGGCTTAATCAAGTCAACAATGATGATAACATGTCCGAGAGCAACTTTAGCTGCAGGACAGAGATTTCCAGCCAACCCGAGTCAGTTTTCAAAGTACCCATGGATGCTATATCCATGGATTTTCACATGAGAATGAGGAAGCAAGTTATGGCAGAAGCTCAGAACGCTTGCCGAGAGATAGAAAAACATAATGCTGTGAGTTGCCATTGTCATTCATTTTTATCTGTTTTTCATCCTTCAAAGTTAAAGACGTAAAGATGGAGCGTTTGTATCTATTAAAACAGAGGAGAAGTGATGCAGCCTTGGCGCTCTGTGTTTGTGCGAGTGTGTAAATTAGCGTGGTAATCCATGGTGGCAAACGGAAATTTGATTGGAACTTATCCTCCTGATTTTTGCACATTTTTTGTTCTAAACTCGTTTTAAATGCTTAGAACTCGTCTCGTTTGCCGCCAATCGGAGAGTGTGCATGAATTTGCATCATTTTTTTCTTCGAGCACTCCGTCTTTTTGTCTTTGGTCAAAGTCAATGAGCGAACTTTGTATGTTATATTTTTGCTCAGTACGTTTGTAGAATAGATAATGAGAAATTCTAGTGGAATTTTCACATCTTCTCAAGAGGGCCAAGATGGGGTTAATATCTCATGATTTATTAACATGACAGTCTTTTCCGAGGATGACTGAATTCACAATCATTTCAGTCACATCATACTTGCGCTTACAGTCTGAATCAGCCAGCTTAAGATTCAGATATTGATAGTAAAGGAGGGAGCCATAATGAAGTTGCATTCCCCGAAAAATTAGCAGATAAATGCGTAAGGGTGTCGCCAGATAAGTCGGCACTTATTTACATTCTCCTTGCAAGTGATCACAATGCAATCATCCAGTAGTGATCTAGGATTAACCGCAGTCCAATCAATAGCAGAGTTAATCCTCCCTATTTGATGGCTTTCATCGCAGTAGTTTGTAAACGGAATTTAAGCAAGTGCCAACTTGGCTGACAACACCTGTACCAATTTTCCTGAAACTTCATGATTTCTTCATGGAAATTTGGCAACATCTGGGGGTTCATACACTGTTTTTCCATAGCAGAGTTGTGTGGTTGGCGTGTTATTTTTTCTCAATTGGACCAATTTCCAATTAGGAACTACCAATTTTGACTCATCTGTGTAAACACGTTGCTGCATGCGGGAAGTAACGTCGTGTTCTTTTGAAGGGAGCCCTAAATTTTAGCACTTACTTAATTGCAAAATGTGATCAATTTTTGGTACCTACTAAATCGCTGTTTTATTTCCTTTTTTTCATGCTCTAAAATGTTTCTTACAGACAAAAGCTGAAGTTTATTACAAATTCGCCATAAAAAAGCTTGCAAGTATTCGTCACTTTGTGATAAGTGCTCATGATCCATCGATGAATGAGCTTTTCATGCAAACTGTAAGTATTTAATTTTTCAATCATTACTTTTTACCATGCGCTAAACAACTTGAATGAGCCTGTTGCAAACTTTTGCCACAGCAAAAATAAGAGTTGTTCCTTTTAGATAATGTCTCAATAATCTTGATGAGCACATTGGCAAACTCTGAAATGCACTCCCACCTTCACAATCTGCGTAAGAAATTTGCGTTTTTTTAAGCTTCCCGCTTCAAATAGGATATTACAGGACAGGTGAACATTTCGTTAGAAGAGTCGTTCCATTCAATCCCTGCTCAACATGGCCGATGCTTCCGCGCAAGTTGAGGAGAGCACGAGGTCAATCAAGGCGGGTATCTATTGACGCAAGAAAAACGTGAATGTTAACACACCGATTGTTATCAGATGGTTAGAATCATCGTCCCATCACATGTGTTTTGGCGGATTGGCGTCGGCTACATTGAATATTGCGTGGTATCCTTGTGAGCAAGGGTTGGATAGAATGACTCCTCTAACGAATCATTAATATTTATAATTTAATAATATATTAATAATCAATAATCATAATGACTTCATGCGTAAAATACTGTCACAATTTTCTTGCTAACATGCGGAAAATTCTCGAGGAAGTACCCTATTAGGAACTTACCTTCTCTCTTTGTATAAAATTTAAATAATTGCCAAATATTCAGATACCGCTATGGAAATTGCAGGTTTTGATCGTAGGCACCTCATACTGTCAAGTTATGAGTTGAGGTATGGTATTATTACTGGTTAGTTTTTATGATAGGGGAATAAATTGCACCAAGAAAAAATTACAAATTATTCGAAAGCTTTTGGTCTGATCAGTTTTCCTTGTTAGCTCATCTTTCATGGAATTGCATATTTTTCACACTCACAAATTCAATTAATTTTTTCCAAAATTTTGAATTCCCTCCTCTTCATTTTTTTTTCATATTTTCTCCTCTCACTGTTACAGAGTATGATGAACAATACAATGGACATGTCACAACTCTCGAATGCTAGAGGTTCGTTTCTTTAGTACATTTTATTTTTGCAAGCATTTTGGATGCGAATTCATTGTATGTAAGTTTTTTGACCCCTTCATATGAGGACTTATATGTAACTATAGCGAATGTTGAGTTTTCACATTGTGAGAAAATCGCGTTTGAATTTTACAAAGCTTTGCACCTTGCCGCCTGTAGAACTGAGAGGGTTTTATCAAAGATTTTTATGAAAAGCAGCTCTTCCTGTAAAAAAACACGCATTTTATGATTAATGTAAGTTAAAAATTGAAGGAGTAATAGCAATTTGAAAAAAATGTGACATCCGCCATTTTTACTAAGAACGTTTTTTATGTATGAAATAAAGTCTGCAGGAAGGGTGAGGCTGGTGAAACGATTGAAATGAACCTACAGTAAGTCAGTGATGAGACATTTGATAAAATTGAACAAAAAACTAAACCGTTTGTAACTTCCACAACAAAAATAAGGAACAAATTATCAAGTCAGGAAAAAAATCAACAATTCTGGCGAGACGGCTCCAATAGGTATCATTTGAGTGTCAGCTGCAGCCCATGGTCGGTGCTCGGGCAGTTATCGCAAGCGTGTTGGAATCTCTACGGTGTCCTTCCGTGCCGGCCAGGGAGAACAGTGGATTCTCATATCCGCTGTTTTTACAAATAACATGGTTTTCAGTTCATATCTCGCCAAAAAATTGCGCTGGAAGTCTGAAACTTTGCACAGGTGTTCTTGACGGCTCCAGAATTCGAAAAAAGCGTCTCCCCTAAAAATAGAGGATTTCAGCGACCGCTATTGATACGTACAAGTCCTCACATGCTTAAAAAAGAAGCTAGTAATGATTTTTTTTTTTTTTGAAAGGCATCATATTTACTAGTGAAAACGCTCCTCTGAATTAACATTGAGCTTGAGTGGAACTTCAATCATATTCAGTCCATCATCTGTTAATCCCTACTTAAATCCTTCTTATTTTTTCTTATCAGTTTATCAGTAAGTCATACGATGAGGAATATTTTTTGTTTAAAACTGTTAAATTTATATTTGCACACTATGTGACGTTCAATACAATAAAATCAGATGTTGAATTTAAAAAGTAGAAAAGGGCTCTAGAAAAATAAACGAAACTGTGAAAATCTTTTCCATCTCCTTACTGGAGATTGCAAAGAAAAATTTCTAACAATGGTTCTGCTATGCTTGTCAGTGAAATATAGTATCCAATCACCAAAGCAGGTGTTGAATAATCCAGTGTTTGTAACGAATCAATTTGTTTTTAAAATTCCACAGGCATTACAAAAACTTTATTAAAAGTTCTTTCTAACACTTAATTTCTAATTTGCTTCCACTAATAATTTTAGGATTCATGGGATCTCAGGCGTCACTTGTTGGAGGAACGGTTTTCAATGACTCACTTCGCTCAAACAACACTTTTTTGAACAGCAATAGTCATCTAGTTTCTTCAACAACTGGAGTTCTGTCTCAAAATGCAGGCAGCCACAATGGAACTTTCCTTCCACCTCAAGGTTCGGTTGGAAAATCAAGTAAGCAGATATTGTTTTTGTTGCAACTGAGTTTGTTGAGTTTTGGATTTTTGTGAACTGATGGATAGCAATTCAATGCTTTTTTTTGCTTTGAAAGCAGGGAGGAAACCGAGTTCTGGCAACTTTTGCTCGCATGTGCCAGGAACGGGCGGCCGGTCCCACCCCCCGACAGCCGCAATCAGCTGACAGGGGGTTCGAGATCAGTGTTCGAAACTCACAGGTGCCAACGCGCCAAATGCGCCTAAAAAATCGGCCATGGCGCCTAAAAAATGAAAGCTCTGCGCCAATGTGGCCCCTTAAAATTGATTTTTCTGAATTTTCATATTAGGTGATTATTCTAAATTTTCAGCACTGTAAGTGAAAGCTTTTTCTATTCTTCATGATTTCATCCTTAGTGCTTGTGTCTTCCCCAAGTTACAGCTACTTACTAGTTCTGTTACAAAAACATCTTGTGTCTAACTTTTCACTAAATGCGCTGCAATATATAGGCATAATGTCAATTTGGCCCCTAAAAAATCTTCAATGGCGCCTAAAAATCGGGCTTGATGCGCCACATGGTTCTTAAAACTCAAAGGTGAGTTTTGAACACTGTTCGAGATGGTCACCCGCACCCCGCACACACGAGATTGAGGTATGCTCAATGGTCAGCAGAGCGCGAGTGGGTTCGGACCCCGGCTAAGAACCTCCGCACCCCCCCGTCCCTCCAGTCACTTGAACTAGTGGTTCTCCCGGCGAGACATCCCGACCAGACGAGGCAGGCCCAGCCGTTCCTCTTGGGGGTATGCAAAGGCGTTGGTGAACATACCACCCAAAAAAACCCCTGGCTGCCAGGAAATTGAGCATCAAGCTTGCAAGCAAGTCAATGCTTGAGTACATCACTTTAACATAGATTTAATCTCGATGTTGTTGAAGTGAAACAAAACTACATTTCTGATGAGGTTAGCCGACAAGTTAAGTAGATTCTGTTTTGTGTGTCTAAGGTTGTCTGAGTTGCTCTCTATATAATAGCATTTTAAGATGATTGTTAAACAGCACCAAAATGGACCATCTATTCAATATCCATGAATAAGAAAAAATCTCCCAAGTCCAAACTTGGAATAGTTCTTTTCACTGCATCAATAGGCTGTTAAACAAGTTACAAATTCAAATGCTCTGATACGTGTCTCCTCTTAAAAATGTTATGCAGAACATGATCTGCATAATGAAAATTACTAAAATTAATATATGACCAAGATATTGAAGTTTGTATGTAAGCAGGTATCACTGGTTACGGGAAATTTCAGTTTCCCGTTGACAAGAAAAACCAGGCTACTCAAAACAAATCTTTCACTACAGAAATGTTTGCAGGCCTCTTATCAGTGTCCCTTCCCTGCCCTGAGTTGTTCTAAGTGTATAAAACATACAATAGTTGAGCCGAAGATTGGAGATTGAGGTTGCCATTTTTCACACCGCTAAGACTGTTACTGTGCAATGTAATTCAAGTCAAGTAGTTTACAGTTTTTTATGAGAGGGAAGTGTGAAATTATGCACCAAAGAACCCTAATATCTTTGCTAGAAGTTGATATCAGGAATTGTTGCGCAAATTTTTGTTTTCAGTATGTGAAATCTCAATTAGAAAGTATACGACATAATGCCCAAATTTGCCCCTCTATCCATTCCAGGCTATTTGATAAAAGTATGGAACGTGAACTACCAATTAATCAGAAATTTGGAAGTATACGAAACTATTGTCACTTTAGAGCGGGGCCTCAAGGCATGTTTGCAATAGCTAGGTCATTTGGCTCATATTTTTTAACAATGCTCACCAGGATGTTTACAAGTACGAAAAGTCCGGAAATAGTACTGATTTTTTAAAGGCGGGTCCGGAAGTACTGTAGTAGTGCGGAAATTTCGCTAGAAGGTCCGGAATTTTTTCATTTTTTTGTAATTTTTGTTGAAAATTGAGCGAGAAATTTAAATTTTGTCAATTGGAGGTACTGGGAAAGTACTGAATTCCTCTGTAAAGGAGGTACTGAATTTCCTGGGAATGTATTGAAAAAGTACTGTAAAAGTACTGATTTTTGGCCAGCCTGTTTTAGTAGACAGTGCTCACTGATCGTGTTATTTTGAAAAAAGAATGAGTAGAAAGAGAAAGAAGAGAAAAACTTATGATTTTGGCAGTCATTTACTTTTACTCCTCTTCTCAGATTTCACAGGGTCACAAGCATCGTTCAATGGAGGAAACGTCTATAACGAGTCACTTCGCCCGAACAACACTGTATTGAACAATAATCACAGCCATCTTATTTCTTCAACAACCGCTGCAGCATCAGAAAATACAGCCAGCCTTAATGGAACGTTCCTTCCTCCAAGAGCTCCTGCTATGAGACCATGTAAGCCAAATTTTCTTTATTGTAGCTCAATATGTGAAGGGTATGAACCAGTTGAGGTTTGCCGAATTGTGCCTGAAAGTATCATATAAGTATGTATCAATTTGTGAAGCTTTTTTTCTTCCTGTCTTTGGTTTCAATCCAGCAGCCTGATTGTTGAAATTTTTTGTTTGTCGGGTAGACATGGATGACGTAAGTGAAAAGGCGGAGCATGATTGGTCGGCTATGTCTTATCGCTGCATTATCATGCCTATGTCGGGTGGAACTCACGACAAGCTAAAAGCAGCTCTTAAGGTTCCGACAGTATGTTGTCCATTCCACCTGACAAAGGCACGATGAAGTAGCGATGAGACATAGCTGACCAATCGCACTCTGCCTTTTAACTTATGTCATCTACATCTACCCGACCAATACAAAATATCAATAAGTAGGCTGCAGGTAGAAAACATTGACGATTATTACCATCCCCATCGCCACCGACTGGGACAGGAAATGAGGTACACTGAAAGTTCAGCATCATTTAACGGAGCTCTGTTCCTTGCAGAGTCTTGATGTTTCTAGAATTCATAAAATGACAGTTTTAAAAAAAATTTGATTATGTCTGGGACAATCTTATCTTTTTATTTATGTAGCAGACAAATACTCAAATCAGGCATTTTATTGAATGCTCGGGCAGACAGTCAAATTTTGGTGGTTTATGAAGTCTTGAATATTCTGGACGAATAGCTCTAGAGTTTCAAATGTTTTGAATGTAAGAATACATCAAATCCACGAACTTTTCTTGTATTTTGCTCTCTGATGACTCTTCTTACATTTTAACCGTCAAGGTTTTAAAAAAATTGTATTTTATGATGTACTGAAAATTCCAAGATGAGAGCTCGTTTAAGGACTAGATTTAATTTATTTACAATTGTATGATGCTAATTTTTACAGAAAGTTCTCTTCCAAACAAACAAGCAAATAATTATTTTGCCTGAAATTAGGAAAAAAGTCAAAATTTCAGTGCAAGTAAGAACATTTCAATACATATCTAGGCTTTGAACAAAATGCCTGGTTTGACTATTTGCCTGCAAAATTTATTCATGGACGAAACTTCACTCATCAGAAAAATATCATTCATAGTTTTTTGTCTCCTCAGAAAGGCAATGACGCATCTTCATGAGGAAGCTTGTCTTTTAGGTTGTAGTAAGAATCATTCAATATTTATATTATTTTCACTCCTTTTTTTTCTCTTTAGCTAACCCAAAACCTCAGCCGAACCAGTCCTCTCAGACAGCGGCTCAAAATGATTTTAACAAAACATCGGATCCAGTCGCAAGTAAGGCTCCTGTTTTTTCACTCAATTGTGCAATAAAACTCAATTTTTAATTATAAACTCATCTATTTCAGAACCAATTTATTAAAGAGACCTATCTTAAGAAATTTGCGTTTCTTTTGATTTAGAAAAAAAAGGTCAAGGACAACTGTGGAAAGTCAAAAAGGCAGACAATTCAAGGGTCGAATAAAACCTGAAAGTCCAAAAAGAAGGCAGAAAAAATGTTGCTAGACAGAGTGTCCACTTCTATGATAGAGGTAGAAATCTCAAGCTCAGATCTCACTACTTCCGCTAATCTAAGGTTCAATTATCGGACCACATTTTGCAATTAGGAACTATAATTTCTGGCTTGCCTGTACAAGCACTTATTTGCACAGTGAAACTAACGGTACATACTTAGTTTCTCAGCTCGGTCAGAAACTGGAGTTCCTAATTGCGGAATGTAGTCAAATTGTCCTAAGTGGAGTTGATGTTTTATGCAACGGCCTCCTGTGCTGTGCAAAAGAAAAATATGCCTGCTTGAGCCTTCAAATTTTCCGTTTGATAAAACAGAATTTTCAGGGAAATTTGTGAATATTTTTCAGATAATTTTATTCACAATCAGCTCTAAATTTTCTGAAATGAAAATGATTACAATAAAAGAGAAAGTATTTATAACTCTCCTCAAAAATAAACAGTTTATTGGAGGAACTACAGCAACTTTCAAATGTTCATTCGGCATTTTTCTTTAGCATGGCAGTCTTTATTTAAAAACCATTCTTGCTTTTGCTCAAATGAAGGCTGTGTTGGTCGATGAAATGATGTTTTTTTAGTTTTCTTTAAAGCTCAAATTCCATTTTCTTCATGATAAACTGAAGCCATAGTAGCATCTACCCCTGTATCAGCACTTGCTCTTTCTTCAACCTTAGTTACGGCTGGTGTTTGCCTGGTGGTGGTGTGGTTTTTACAAGATAATTGTTTCTTTTAAATTGGTTGGCGCCTCATGGTATATTTTTTCAGAACTTTCCCGTGATAAAAAAAAAAGTGTGAAATTTTCTAAGTGTCAAACAAACTCATTGTTTTTCCTATCTTTTTCTCGCTCAGATTCTTCTCAAGTCAGAGGTGGCTCTTTCTTGGCACCTTCAACAAACTCTGCTTCTTCTCGGCCACTACCAACCGCAGTTGTCTCTCTTAAAAAATACTCCCTTGAGAAACGTCCAAGCCCTCTCGCAAAGTCATCACCGCTGAATGAATCGGTCCAAACCTCTCCTATAAACCAGAATAATACAATGAATAGCACAATGAACAGCACAATGAATAGGACTGCTTCTCAAAGGCGCAAGTTTGATGTCAATCCCATCATCCTCAAAAATTGGACTCTAGCCCTCGGGAAACGAGTAGGCTCTGACGACTATGAGCTGCTTGTTCGAGGAGTCATAGCCAAGTTAGTTATTCTTTTTTAACACTTTTCATCAAAGACATCAAGTCAGTGTTCACACATCTTGATGCGATGTATTTTGCTGTTGGAGGAAGTGTATGTTTTTTATTGAAAGCGTTTCTTTTTAAACTTGTCCTTTTGTTTTTCATCTAACAGGACAGGCAAATTATATTACTCAGCTGTCTAATAGGAATCCCCCCACCCTCTTTTTTCCACTGAAGCTGAAAATAGCCGCAGATTTTTTCCCATCACCCACGAATTTTCCGAAATAATGAGTTTTTAAAAAATGTCCCTCTTCGGTGTGACATGAAGTGTTTTTGGAAAAATCTGTTTTTCAGAACATTGGTGGATGATAGAGAAAAGCTAAGGTCATATTTGGCTTCAGCCAAAGAGAAAATTGGAGCCCACATTGAATTGCAGAAGTGAGTGATCACCTGATCTTCTACTTACTTCTTTTGTGAAGTTATACTCAGTTATGAAATATTGTCACTTTTAGCTTTCAGATCCATGCCTATAGTACCATATCTCTTAGCAGGGATTTGAAACTACCAGACCACATATCTCGGTTTGCAAAGTTGCAAACGTCCTGCAATACTTTTTTTTTTTTTAAACAGAAAAGTACTTGACTTGAATTCTTGAGAACTTCTGTGATTTTTCTTCCGTGTGCGAAGAAAACTCTGTGAAAATTTCAAGGAGTGACATTGATTTGTTCTCTCACAAAAAAATCAAATGGGAGCAGAGATTTTTAAACACTGCAAATGGGGTACATGGTTTGGTAGTTTCACACCCTCAATATTTCTGTTAAGTTTTGACCTTCCACGACCAAAAACTGCTCAAGTTGTAGTCATCCAGATTGGGATCAGGGAATCCTTAATAACGCTTCATCTTCAAGTTTATCAAATTCAGCCCCCCCCCCTCTCCCCCTTCAAGCAGCTCAACATTCTGCGGATTCATCACTGAAAGTTTTTCCTCTCTCATTTTTCAGGAAATGTGAATTCGGCAATGCCAATATGGAACATACAACGCAAGCAGTCAAAGCTCGTCTAGGAGAGTTTTGCGTCAAAACAAAAGATGGAAGAGAGTACCAGCTGCAAGGGCCCTTCCAAAATCTCAATTACAGTAACTATTCTTTCTTTATATTTTCGTTACAGGCAACGATTTAATATAAAAAGAAACAAGAGCTATGTAACACACTCTCTCTTCAAATTTCTTGCGCTCACCAAACAAAGCAGGGTCTGCTCGAGTCAAATCAATCGCTAACCTTAATCTGCAGACACTGTGGAAAGTGTGGGATCATGTTCCCTGCAATTTGATACTGTTTTATATTATTTATGTTTGATTCCATTGAAATATTCAAAACAAAATAGCTGATGAACTTTGTTGATCAGTGCAGTTATTTAATCGCTAACTTCAAATGTTCCCTTGGTTGTGACAAAAACAGAGCAAATAATTTGCAGTGTGAACTCCCATTTAGGGATATTAGATTCTGCAATCTTGCTCTCGTAATCCAACAAAATTTGCTTTTTGATTCGAATTTTACCTGTTGACAAAATTTTGCTCTTTGAATTTGGGATAAGAATGCTACGGCTCACATTTCAATGGCTAATTGTGCATATTGCCTCTTTCAGTCACAATGTTTTAAAATCCCTGAGTAAAATCCACTCTCTTTACGGAAAACTAATCAAACATTTCCTTGCAATTTGATGTGATTTTTTGGAATGAGTGAAGAAAATTCACATAAAATTTCAGTTGAAGCTGTCAAGCGGTCTTCTTTTTCAAGAATAAAATCTGAGGAGAGACTTACATTTCGCAATTTTAGGCCCGTATTTTGTGACTTGCGCCGTTGATTTGTATCTTGGTCCCACCTCAATATGAATCAAATACCGAAAATTCCCCATATCTTCATCTCCTCAGTCATTAGCTCGAGTTGGTGGTTGTCTAAAAGTCTAAATCTCATTTCCTTTAATTTCTGTGTGATTTTCCTCTGCTCTTCTCTCCTTATACATTTTTCTTTTGCCTCACAGGTGTTCCCAAGATTGTTACTAGCCTTCATCTTAAGAGAGGATCTGGAATTCCTACGCACTGGAGGAAGATGGTTAAATTTTGGGGTGCCTCCAGGCCTAGAGGCAAAAATGGTAAGCCTGAATTTATTCAACTCCTAGTTGAAAGATAAAAGTCAAAATGCTCAAGTTATGCTGCAAATTTTAAATGCTTTGACCCTTTGGCGCCTACGCACGAGATATCTTGTGCAGCGCAGGCTGCACACCCTAGCCTACGCACGAGTTATCTCGTTTTGCAACCGCTGGCTAGAGATTCCCCTCTAAATCACTCTATAATTGGTTTATCAAGTCATGTAGCATATGCATTTCTATGAATGATGACAATTACCATCGTTATTGTTGACTTTGTGACTCTGTAAGATTGCGTACATAGTTAGAGATCAAGTTGTTTAGTGGCTTGAAAACAATACATTAATAAATCTTTGATTTTGTCCATGTTTTATGATCGGGTAAATTTTAATAGGGAATGAAATGAATAAAATCTTACCGCATCATTATGAAAAGATGTATGAATGTATCCAAACCAGATCTACAATGTGTCAATGTCAAATATAAGATTTAAATCCATTGTTTATGAAACTAAATATTTTATTTTAATATAATAAACTCCAGGTGCTGGTGGTTCAAAGCTTGCTGTAGTTCTAAGTAAAAGTGGAAGTCAGGTATCTGGCACATGACAGTTTTCTTTTATAAAATGTATTAGAAGGTTTCACGCATTTTTGTTAAATGGTGCTAGAAAATCAGCATGTTTCCTCCGCATTCAAACCCATGTAAAATATCCACATTCAATTAAACCTTGGTTTCGAGGAGGACTGAAATAGGAGTTACAGGGTTGCCAATTGTAGGGAATACCAGAAAAACCTGGAAATGTTAGGAAAAAATTGTTAAGTCACCTTTATTTGCTTCCTATAATGGGTTTGTCGTTTCGAACTACAAATTTTGCGTGAAAGCTAATTCAAATCCGAATGAAATACATTATTTAACCATCCAGCATACTCTTAATTATCAGAGAATTTGACCAAAATTTATCCAGAAAAATCAGAAAAATGTCAAGGAATTTCATTTTTGAAATTCGGTGGGAACTGTGCATTCATTTAACTTTTAGTAACTTTTTTCTCTGTTATTTTTCATTTCAGCTGTAAATGAAGACGGCACTGAGACGTCAGTAGACGACCCACTTAATACGACTGTGACAAGGATGAAAAGTAAAGAGAAAGCGAAAATTTCAAAGCAGGCAAGTCCAGTGAAAAGGCTTGTCTCCAAACCACCGCGTCCTTCGATCAGCAAGCATCCCATGAAACCTACCAGAGAATCGTCAGCTATTTCGGACAAGATCGCTGTTTCAAAACATTTTTCAAGTAGACCCTCTGTCAACCCTATCGGTAAAATTGCACAAGCTCCGGCACTTATCAGCAAAACATCTAAGCCTGATTATCACAAAATACAAAGAAAACGCCTGGAGCAGATGCATGGTTTGTTTCTTTTTCGTTTCTTTTCTTTATTATGTAGGCCTATATGTGATCCTTTCATAACAACACTCACTGCCAGAAATAATCTACATGAAGCCTGACGTTTTCAGGCTCTTCTGTCACAGTCAACTAATTTTTTTGACGTGTTTAAGAAGGAAATAGAGTGCTATTTGGACGGAGTCAACTATAAACACACTAAGTGTCACATCAAGTTTAAATGGAGAAAAACCGGATCAAAGTTTTATTTTTTCACAAGACTCATGTTAAAGACTAAGTTCGGAACTTTAATTTCTAGCTCATCAGTCACAACACTTATGAGCATAGGAAAACTAAAAGTGCATAGGTTGTTTCCAAACTGAGACAGAAAATGCAGTCCTCAATTGCAAAATGTAGTCCAATTATGATTGAAGGAATTAACTGGGATTATGATAAAAGTTTGATTGAAATATGAGGATCAAAGAAATGAATGACAACATTTTGTCATCTTCATTTTTCTGCGATTTTTGTTACTGAAAAACAAGAGTGTATGAATTCTTAAAGAATTATCCGAAAGATCTTGAAAGCTAATAATTTCTTTTTTTTCAAAGCTGACTCATCAAAATCACAGTCTTGTTGCAAACCACAGCTCTAAGAATAAAGCAGGTGCCTGCTTTTCAAGGTAAGTGAAACAAAGGTATGCTCTTCCCTTATTTAAGCACCTGAAATTCAACAAAACGCTTGGTCGCATTGGTTCCGATTCAATCTTGACTGGAAGTTTGAAACAGGATTCCAACTCAAAATTATTCGATTTTTAGTGGTCCTTCATTTCGGCTGGAGTGAGTTCCAGCACTGCAATATTTCGTTCTTACTGGTCCTCTTTTCCCCTCAAGGTAATGTTCCTGCCAAGATTGTAATGATACCAACTTAACCGAGTGTTTTCTAAATTATTGGTGGCATGGATGGGAAGATCATACCTTTGTTTCACTTACCCTGCCTGTGGGCAAAAATTCCCAAACTGCACTTGCATGGTTTGATGAGTCATCATTACTACGGTTATCTCGCCAATCAGACGATGATTGGAAATAATTTCTCAGTTAATTATTTATAGTGATAATTGTCTTCTCAAAAATTTCACCATAGACAAAATTTAAAATTTGAAAATGAGAATTGTGGAAAATCTGTAGACAGCAGGCGCACTCCTTCTATTCAAAACCATCCTCATCAAATTCTAATGAAATGATATGATTTTGGTCTCAATCAATGAGAAATGAAGTAAGCTTTAAAATGAGACCAAGATCACCTCTATTATTCTCTTGGTTCAGAAAGCACTGCATCATTATCGTGGTACTTTTGGGCACCCTTAGTATTTTCATGTTTGAAATATTTTTTCTCAAATTTGAATCTTTATAAGGAGGAAACATACGACTAACAGGATTCAAAACTACTACCATCAACTCATTATTTTTATAAAAATTCGATTTGGTGTGTTCCTGTCAAACTCAGCTCATTTAGATTTTCAAACTTCTCTCACAGAAGTATTCATTTTAGAAAGACTATTAACTTTTTACCTAAAAATTTTCCAAACTTTAGATTAAATTGTAGAAAAGTTAAAAACTTGCTTCAGTGGAACTTGGAACAAACCTTTTCGCCAAACTTTTTTAGACACCAAAACTGTATTGATGGCCTAGGTGCAAAACCATGTACGTCCATTCGCCATGTCCGAAACTATCTTTCATACTTAATTCTGGAAAACTATCTTGGATATAATCTTCGGGAAACTGGTCAACGCAATTTCTTAAAAACTTCATTGATTTTTCCTCTCTGTCAGCAGAATATTCTGTCTACAGTTCAAGCCATGAAATTGGGTTGTTTCTCTTCGAAAAAATAAATTATGCGAGGAAATTTTAAAACTCTGCAATTAAGATACTGTGGCGGCCAATCACCGCTCACCTCTGGCGACGCAGCCCATGCTCGCCCCTGATTGGCCGACGCAGTCTCAACAACGGCTATATACGTCGTGACCACACGGACTCTGATCACTCCGCTCCCGTCAACCACACGGATCACATCTCTCACCTAGCGGACATCATGCAGCCGGCCGGCTTGCCCCATTCCAACGGCCCTGTTTAGGGCCACCACATTAGTGCACCTTTTCTGGTCTTTGGCCATAATACGTTTGAGCTTAGGGGATCAACATCTGAAGCTAAAAAAATGTTTATATTTTCAGCTGCAAGATTGCAAGACAGCTCTGCACTGGATTCAAGCGTAAATTCTCCAGCAGAAGCTAGAGGGAAGAAAAGTCAAGCTGCAAAGTTGCGAGACGGTTCGGTACTGGATTCAAGCGTAGATTCTCCAGTCCAAGCTAGAGGGAAGAAACGTCAGGCTGCAAAGTTGCAAGATGGTTCTGCACTGGATTCAAGCGTAGATTCTCCAGTCCAAGCTAGGGGAAAGAAACGTCACCGTCCGGTGGACCTGCCCAAGAAGAGCAGTTCTCCTACTGTTCCAGTCCAGCTAAAAAGCAAACAGAAGCCTTCGCATAAATATTGGGCAGACCGATTATCAGGCTCATCAAGAAGCTATTCACCAGCTGTACCCAGGCCTAAGGTCAAGTCCCGCCAGCGACCGCAAGTAGTTGAAGAGTCGAGTATCAATACATCAGTTGATGTCAGTCAAGTCAAGCCGACAAAAAAACGCCCGATCCCCAGATATTTGGATGGTAAGTTTGTTAAATGCAACTAAGTTAGGATACAGGTACAGTATAATTGTGATAAATTGGATAACAGAGAAGGAGACCAATATGGGAATAGAGTGAAGCGTTATAACTGGAGCTATCAAATTCAACCTCATTAATTAAAGAAATAGCTCAATGCTGGAGGATTAGTGAATGAATTGGAGTCAGAGGAAGTGACGGAAAATAAACAAATCCAGCAATCGCTACTGACTCGATGGAACTTGAAATGTAAAATGGAAACTGAGTTTGTGGATGTATCAGCACCCTTAAAAAAGCTTCAGTGGTTGAATCCACATTTTTCTGTTTTTTTTTTTTACATCAATTTTGAGTGTCTTATTTGGTTTTCAGTTGCCAATTTAACGGACATATTGATTTCACATATCAGTTTTATGTGGTTTTAGTACTGCTGTTATCTGTGTAAAGATCATGTGAAAGAGTTAAAAATTTTTGCAAGTGGATCAATGACTCTTTTCTCTTGTTGATGCAAGTTAAAACCCACTAGATGAGTCTAGTTAATATAAGCTGAATTTGATAAGAATGGGCCAAGTTGAATTTTGGGGAAATAGTTAGTTATGAGTAGTTTTGACTGAAACTAGTCGTAATTTTTTCTTATCAAAAATTTAAAGTCTGGAAATTTATTTTGAATGTGAAATTATTCGTTAAACTTTGTTCTCAAGATTGAGCCATACATAGAATCAACACTACAAACCTGTGTTTCTGGGTTCAAACTTGATGTGACTTGTTGCGTTTATGTTTATACTTACAAGTGTAGTTGGTCCATATGCAGGGTTGGCACAGTCAGGAAATACCGGGAAACCAGGAATGTCAGAAAATTTTATAAAGTCAGGGCAACTAACGAACGTTTTTTGGAAAAATTGTTAAGTACTTGCTTTCTAGAATGGGTTTGATGTTTCAAAAATCACATTTCGCCTAAACATCGTTTCAAATTGTGTCTTTTAAACCATCTGACAGATCCTCAATTGTCAGGGAATTTTACAAAAATAAGTCAGGAAAATCAAAGAATTTCATTTCCTAAATTCTGCGGTAATTCCGATTTTAATAAATCCAAAGAGTTAGTATTTTTTTCTACTGTTTCTTTTTCTCCCCCCTGTATTCCTAAAGAATAATCTGTACTACATCTATCATATCGTCTTTTTCAGAGAATGACATCAGTCTTTCAGGAGCGGAGAAGAACAAATCGAATTTCACAAACAATAGCAATATCTCTTTCGAGGTAACAATCTTTCTATACTCTTAATACTCTACATCCAACTGATCTTTGATCGATTGATTGATAATAGAAATCCAGGAAAAATCAACCAAATATTGAAAAGAGTGTGTGTCTCAGGCAAATCGTCAAATGGGGCATTTTATCTAATGCCGAGGCAAATCATCACAGTTTGACAGTAAACAAAGTTTTTTTACATTTTGACAAAAAGCTTTCAAATTTTCAATGTTTTGATATTAATAATTCATTAAATTCATGAACTAGCTTAGTATTCCTCTCGAAGTAATCTTATACCTCTTTATTGTCAACATTTTGAAAATTATATTTTTCATGATAAGGTACAAAGGATTTTGCACTGAAAACCAAGAAATTTGGAGCTGGTTAAATTTTGATAATTTTTTCTATATGTTTCTCACGATCTCTGAAGTAAGATGTGCTTTCCAAATCAATCTTTCTAAGCGCTATTCTTGAGGAAATTTGGTTTGGAAAAAGCATTTTTTAGCAATTTAACACATGTGCTGTCATATGATGAAGTGCCGCCATTGCTGAGTCAAAGATCCATAGCCTTTTGTTTTTGAACTGTTTGCGAGGTGATGCGCCAGTTTTTCTCCTTGGCTGGCGCTTGCGAGACAAGAAAAGAGGAGCACGCACTTTGCTCACTTACATTTTACCTCTTGATAATGCGTTTATTACGGCTGAAAATTGCAATTTTCAGAATCAATTTTCTTAAGATTGGCTCACAGAAAGTCTGATTTCAATATCTCATCCCACTCAGGAGATTACAAGGAATGCCGCATCATAAAATCTCAAAATTTAGCAGGCATTAAATTTCTTTGTATGGATTCTGTGCGCTCTCTATTTGAGATAAATGTACCATTTATTATAGAGAAGAGATAAATTGAGTATAGAGATAAATTAGGAATTTAATTATGGATTACAATAATTTATTAACCAACCAAAAACTTTATAAAATGTAGCTTCTAACTGTGTAAAAGTAACCTGCTTACTGAAGTTTTGGACTACGGAAAATACAATTTTTATAGAAAAACTATGATATTGATTTAAACCTACCTTTGAATTCTTACCTACTCAAGCAAAGAATCATTTTGTCATAGATTTTTAAAATAATCAGACTCTCAATCGAAGAAAGTATATTTGACTTTTTGCCTGTGACATTTAAATATGATAGAGTTGAAACAATCTGTTTATTCATTGAGCCTCGGTCCAATTAGTGACCCAGCATTTGATCAAGGAGGATCCTTCAACTTTCGGAGTCAATATTTTGAACAGGGGTAAGCTGATTTTGGGCTTTTTGGAATAGATGTAGCTCAAAACTTTTTGTACTTTGTCTTTATAATAAAATAACTCCAAAATTGTGACAGGAACCCTGATTTTCAAAGCTAGGGTCCCCTTTTTAGCTCCCATGGGAAACTGGACAAACTTGGAGTTGATGCTATTCAAATTCCTTGAGATCAATTGGCTCTGTGTGTCCGCGCGGTCCTCTAATTCGTTTGACCTAAAATGGTTGGGAAAAAAGCCTGATACAGGTGGTCTAGGATACCCCATGCAACTCATAAATAACATGAAATATCGTACAATTCATAACCAAAAGTTATGCACTGTATTGAAGAGATGAATAGCTCCTGAGATTTGCTGTCTTATTACCTACTTATTAATTGTTACTTTCTGCAGTTTTTCACTCGTTTTTTTTTCTCCAGATTGTATCTCCGGGAAAAACACTCCACAACATCAAGAAGCTGAAAGACTCGAACATTATCAACAGTCAAGTGACCCCTCCTACATCTTATTTTCTGAATGTCCTACCAAATAGTGATAAAAAAAGCGAGAAGATTGAACGAACCAAAAAAACAGTGAAAAGGTATTTTCCTCTTATCTTTTTATTTTCTAAAACGCCCTTTGCAGTTTTGAGATTCTGGCCCCCCAACTACAATCTTTTTCTCTTCTTCAAAACTCCCCAAGTATTCTTTACTTATTTTTTATTTTTTCAAATTTTGGAGCCCTTAAAATGTTTTTCCCATCCTCTCACCTGCTTTTCTAGTGGGTATCTCAACACATATTGGTAGCACAGCAGAACTACGATTAAAACAAGAAGATGAGCACAACTTCTGAATGTAACAAGGTGGAGAAATGGTGCCGGGTCCACACCATTTTGCGGGGAAAACAAGGCCAAGAAGTTCAAAAAATTATAGAGGCAAAATTAAATTTTTTGAACTTTAATGCGTCCCAGTGCAAAACTGAGGGGGGAGAGTGTTCAGCTCAGGCAGTTTGCATTGGAATATTAAGTTGGAGTCATGCCGAGAGATCTATACCGGTTTGGGTATTTTTAGAGCTCATCAGCAGATTACACTCGGCAGTGAACACTCTCCCCCCTCAGTTTTGCATTGGTACGCATTAAAGTTAAAAAAATTTAATTTTAACTCTAATTATAATTTTTGGGACTTCGTGGCCTTGTTTTCTCCACGAAATGGTGTGGACCCAGCACCATTTCTCCACCTTGTTACATACAGTTCGGGCCACTTCTTAGTGCTGTTTTTCTTCTTCTGAATGTGTAAATCTTAAACCTGGAATGATTTTTCAACAGAAAGTTTACAAAATTGTATTTATTTGTCATTTTTAAATGAAACTTAGATTCAAAACAGGTAAGGTAATCCAGCATTCCAATGCGTTTATTCTGTGTTTCTGAACTCATGCATTTTCAAAAAACAGGGAGTGCTCATTGTTTTTAGGAATTTCCTCCGATTTTTCTGAACGGTATTAACGAAAAAATAGTTCATAGTTGCATAGTAAAGTCTTTATTTTTCAAAATTGGTAATGATGAAGTTGTAATGAGAGAGCAAAACCAGCTTGTTAAAATGGCAAAAGACAATGAAAAGTAATTTCTGATGCATGTGCACAAAAAAGCAACTTGCCCAGCAGAAAATTTTTTCAACGTTTCTGCATAATTAATTTGTATGCAGATTTTTGCATCAATTCCATGGTTACATCTCGTATCATAAGATGTCTCGACAGTGTTACCAAGGCGTTTTTGATGTTACATTGGTGAAAGACCATAGGAAAAGTTCTATTGGCATAATTCAGGAAGAGTGAATCATTGAGAAAAAACTATCGCCAATTGTCTCGTCTCGTTCAAGCTGGTGTAACTTAGCCCATATTTATTCTGATGATTTGATCTTAATCTCAATTGACTGCTTTCCATTTCTACTTTCAAATGACACCCAAATTAGCTTGATATGTTGCTCTGTTAATTGCATGATGTCATTTGGCATTTATTGCGTATTTTGCACTAAAATGTATGTCTGATACTGATCCATGCTATTTTTTTGCAAAATTTTTGTCAAAAAATTTGCTCCAAGTTGTTTGAAGTTGTGTCAGTTTTCTCATGTAAGGTGACATACAGGAGAGTAGAATAATTTATTATGATTTGTTTGCAGGTTAAATGAACGTGTTTTGAAGAAAGGCAGAACTGCAACAAATATTCAAAATGTAGCTCCGAAACTTACATCACAGGATCCGAAAGGATTGAAGAAGTATATCCATGAATCTAATGCTCGCTTAACGAAAATTCAGCAGTCAAGATCGATGTCGCAGGACGAAATGTCTGATTTTTCTGATGTTTCAATGAGCGGATTTCTGGATGATTAATTGCAAGTCGAAGTATTGAGCTCAAATATCTTTTTAAGAGTTCTTCAGGTTTGTAGCCATACTTCTTGTGTCATAGCTTATAATACCAACTACCTTTGAATCCATTATCTTTATTTTATTTACCAAGGTTTTTTTTGGGGGGGGGGGACTGCTCAGTCATGTTTTATTTATCTCAGTTTTTAATGACACCGATCTCCTATAATTTTTTTTCTCTTTATTTTATCTTCAGGAGCCTTCTTGGGTTTTAATGGCTCGATTTTTTCAGACCCCACTGACAAAGCAGCTTTTGGGCTAAATTGCTTAACATTTTACAAATAAACGTAGTACTCACCTCTTGCTCAGGAATGTCTTTGATCAAAAAATTATGTTCAATGTCTCAGCATGTATCTTTTAGTTTTTACATAGCCTCCTCTCTTAATCATGTCGGTAATGGCAGAAGAACAAATTTCATGTATTATTCTTATTTTTAATGTTAAACATTCCATGAATCTTAAAATTTTTTCAACACCGTGAACCACTTCATGGCTCAGAAAATAAAATTAATAGTGAATTCTCATCAAAAGTTTTGATAAGATTGTGAAAGCACAAAAATCTAGGCAAAGGAACACACCATTTTAAAGTGTTTCCTGCTCATTATTTGCAAATCAGAATTTTTTTACTGCAATAATTCTTATCCTATGCTGAATGCTATATCATACTGATCGATTCACTTACCCTTTTACTGTATGGATTTGCTTTTTCATCAGTGCGAGAGACAATTTGCATGTTAAAATGTAGTTTTACCAATTTACTATATTTCTAAGGCTATTATTTCTCTGAAGATGAAGGTTATTTATTATGACCATCTTAATTTAAATATTCGCACAGGAATAAAATGGAGAAGCTCGTGTTAATGTGGTCTTTATGTAATTCCTTTGTCATCAATGGTGAAAGATTCAGTTTACGCTTATTCTGTTATCACAGACTTGAATGGAATAATTTTAAAATACCCTAATGTTTCTTGTTATGTCTAAACAAATTTTGGCTCTCCTGTTGTATTTTTCTAAAAGTTTTAATTTTTTATAATCATTGGTTGTTAAGTAGAATGTAGAAGTTTGTACTTTTGTCCTCACAATAAGCAATTCTCCTCGTACATAATACATCCACAGACAAATTTCTGTCGAAGTGATAAAACATTTAAAGTGCCAATCAAGCATTGCTACTTAGCCCATAATTTTACTATAGAAATGAATCACAGTTCCAAAACTGTCTCAGTAATGTTGAACATTTTTCAAAACTGAGTAATACTTTGCCATTTAATGACAACTTAATAGACTAAATCGAGATCGTCCCGTAATGTGTCTGATTTAAATTGTGGTCGTGCTGGTCTTTTTCTGCAAATTGTCTGTTTTCAATGTATGTATGTTTAATTATTTTTATTAAATGATAGTTGTTTTTTTATGCATTTACACTAATCGTATGTAACTGGCATTAAACTTTTGATGTTCTCCATAAAGTGAATCGCTACCCACTGTTATCAATGAGATTCGTTTGTCATTATTTTTGGACACTCTGGAGGTATAAGTTTGAATGCAAGTTGTCACCAGTGAAGAGCCTGCGACTTTCACCTAAGCCTCTTTGTCAAATTGCTCTGGTTTCTTTATTAGTTATGCCGACAGTTCTGTACAAACATGGCGTCAATAAAGAGATAGTGATTCTGCTTTTAAGAATTAAAATGTAATGAAAAAACCAAAAAAACTAAAAATGAAGGAAAAATGTTTATTTAACCACAAATATCTCTCCTTGAGATATGCTATTTGGTGCAACTTTCATTACAACCAATCAAAAAGGCAACTGCGGATGTGCTTAGAGTCTAGAAAAAAGGGATTGGGGCGGTCATCTGCTTGTCAACCTTCGAAGGAAGATGAGTCGATTATCGATCTAGACTCTGACTTCAAGGATAATGATAAAAAAACACGAAGAGTAGAAACTGGGTTGAAAGATTTTCTTTTGAAAATAAAAATTGCAGGACATTCTAGATCATCATCATGGCACCATGATCAATTGCAGGAACATTAAGAAGAAGAAAAAAAAGACAAGTAAAGACCACCAATCGGAAATATTACCTTGGAAACTTCATTACTCACAAGACTTTGACAAAATATTGTGGTATGTTACGAGTTAAATTCTTGAGTTTAAATTTCTGTATGTTTCTGAAGTCAATAATGGTGCTGTAAAGAGCCTAAACTTTCTGCTTCTCAATTTTTATAAACATTTTATTAACTTTGCTCCAGTAATGCGTGTTTTTTTATTTGTTACCTTTGTGTTTGACCGCTATCTCACCTTTTTGTTCCGAGAAGAAAATTTTGCAAGTCATCAAAAAAATTTAAGTGGTGATCATTAATTCTTTAAGAATTTCATTTAGTAATGCTCAAGAACTTAAATGCTGGTACACAACTCTTACGTAATGTTTTAAGCTAATTTTGGCGCAAATCGACCTCTCCTGTTCTTTGGCTAGTTTTGTTTTCCATATCTATTTCACTTCAAATGAAGTCTTCAGTGATCCAAAGTATAGAAAAGAAATTTAAAATTTCTGATTTTTGAGTCATTGAAATGGAGGGTACGTAGCTCTGATTGGACATGATTGAGATTGAGCTCTGTCACCATCTTGTTTGAATTTCGTCCTGTATCTTTTTCATCGTTTTGAATCAATCATCAACAGCTCACTTTGTCAATTACAAAGATATTCTTTAAACATGTGAAAAAAATTGAATTGGCTCATTTCATTCAAATTTTGCCTAGCTTGACTGTATACCAGTAAAATTCAATTGAATTTGTGCCTCTATTTTTGGAAAAATATGTATTTATGAAAATGTTTTTAAATTTTTTAGGTGCCTCAGATTTAAACCTGAGGTAAGCATAAATATTAAGGTATTTTTAGACCTTGCTTTTGGATCTTTAGAATTTTTATCATTTTTAAGAAGCTACTTAAAAAAAAATAATATTAAAAAAAAAAAAAACGAAAAAAATTCCGCTCAATATTCCTTGTATTTATGTGCTTTTGAGATTTGCAACTCAGATTTGATTTTCAACTTAATTTTTTAATTGTATTGATTCTGTGGTCTTCCTTTCGAAAGTTATCTTCGAGGGCTTAAATAGTCTCTTGTATAAACTATTTTAATTCAATGATTTTCATGTAATGTGGTGATAACTGACTTTTTTGCCTAACATTTGATGTAAATTTTCTGCAACTGCCTGTTTTTCTTATTCTTTTTAAAATTACAGTTATGAAGCAGATTTTTTCTAGTGTGAAACTAAAACTGAAGTAAATGAGAAAGTCCCCTGTATCAGTTAAACAGTTATACGGATGCAGGTTTTTTATTCTTATTGACTTTCTCAACAAAAGTGCTAAAAGTATGTATACAGCTGAACTTAAACTGAATGAAAAAAAGCGTCTAGCAGGATAAACAGAAGAAATACTTGGCATGAACGCACAGTGTAGTGTCTGCACTGAAAGGGCATGGCACCTATGGCGCACAAGTTTGCAATTGAATGAGGCGTAACAATCTATCAAAAGAAATCTGATCAAGTTCCTTTGATGGATTGTCGCTTTGATATCATTTGCTGACTTGTGCGCCTTAAGTTCTGCTCCTTAAAAGTTAAAATTGCAGTCAAAGTCCATCCCAATAACAAAATTGATCATGATCAGGAGGTGGATGTTGGCTTTAAAAGTTCTGTGTTGAAGGATCCTTTGAAAACTAATGTTTGGATGTTGAGTAAACTCATTAAAGAAATTTTGGGAGCCGTACAGTCAGTGGTACTTCCTATCAGTTCATATCAAGAAAAATGCCATTTTTTATTAGTTATGCGTATTTATATCAACAATTATTCTTCTTGTTTTATACAATTATTTTTATAGAGGAATTTTAAAAAAATTATACATCTTTTGCCCGAATTCGCGTTCCTTTGTGTTTTCTAATCCTGCATATTTTATACGTTGCTTTTTGGCACACAACAGCATCAGAATAAAGCCAATGAAATCCAAATTTTATGCACAACTGAAAAATCAAGTTTGATATAGCTTTTATTTCCTGAAGTGCTGCAACTTTTCATTAATCTTTGCCGGACCAACAGTGGAGTAATTTACAAATGTCAAATTTAAATTTTTATGAAAGCTATTGTTTTGAATCGATAAGACATCTCAGGATGAAAGGAGAAATGTAACATGAAGAAGTCTCCAAAGTTTCGTTGATTCCAAATTTACTCTGAAGAATAAAATGTAACTGTATAAAGCACACCCAAAGACTACCAGAAATCATTTCAAAACTTTGTGAAAATTCAATAAGAGCACAGTCCCCTTCTCTCAAAGAAAAAGCTTAATGAATTCGATGGTTCAATTGGAATCAGCCTAACCATATGCGACATTGCATAATTTCCTTGCATGTCTTTTCTTTTGAAACAGGAAACTAAGCAACATTTGGTCTTTAAATTTTGTCAGTACATTTTTGACAATCCAATAAAAATTTAGAGGAAGAGTACGCAATGTCTAAGAATGTTATTACTGATATCCATGACCAAATTTGACATCACATATCTCTGTGTTTAAAATTTTCCGCTCCTATTTTAGTTTTTGGAAGAGAAACAAGCAAACTTTATAGCTGGAAATGTATACAGAATATTCTGCTGATAGAGAAGAGAAAGCAAGAAAGTTTTCAAGAAAATTTGTTCTCTTGCATTCCATAGAAAAAATAAAGTATGGTAGGAGGTCTGCTAAGTCACAAACGAAGATACGTGGTTTTGCATTTCGGCCATCAATTTGACTGCAGATAACTATAAATTGTTGATAAGAGAGTGAATACCATCATTAAGGCTTCGCGCGAGAAGATGTGTTCTGGTAGACTTCCGTAACAGGCCTGAGTGGCTTTTGAGAAAAAATATTCTAGGTATTAATTTATTTTTTTTTTTTACAAAAATTATAAAATTTTTCAGCTGTGTCCGTGACTATCTGCACTTGTCCCTCTGGAAAGGAAGGATGAAGTAAACAGAGATTTTGTTAAATTGATTTAAAGAAGAAACCTTAACAACCCATTTATTCCAAAGGAAAAGAAGAAAAAGCAACTTCAACTTTTGACATGAGATCGAGGACTTATTACTTTACGTGTGCCGTTCCCATGCCCTCAAAAATACCCTTCACTCCTCTTGAATATGCAACAATTCAAACATAGTTTCGAGATGTTGTCATGGAAACCTGTTGAATGCGCGAACGCGGCCTTTGTTCTTTTCCCGCCAGTTCTGCTGGCTGCGAATGATTGGACGCAGTTCGGACGCCATTTTCCATTTTCCACATTTTTTCAAGTCATTGTTTGCAGTTTTCCAATTTTGTCTCGTGTCTCGTGCCTTAGCAGCCTTCCACGTACGAATATTGCGTTGAATAATTTATCGGTCTTCGAGTGGAGAGAACCCTAGAAAACCTACACTCAGGATTTACAGTTATTTGCGTTGTTAACTTATTTGGGCGCATATCAAGAACCGCCACTGCTTTGGACCTCGGCCCTTCACGCCGGTCTCCTGAAGTTCACGTATCCTCGTGTCACTCGAAGCGATTGAAGGGTAAGATTCATCTATGTAACATCTCATTTTAGTTTTTAGTCCCATGTATTATTGTCATGCACTAAGCAGGCATCAATTTTAGTTATCTGACCATGAGACAGCCTTCCTCGTAGGCGTGTATGGGTTGACGATTTGGGGTTTGCGCCAGGCCATTCTAAATATGTAGGCTTTCCTCATTGTTCCACGAATCTACTGGTGGCACTCCACTAGATATTGGCTTCAAGGGTTTCAATAATTGGCAGCACCATTGAGTGCCGAACCACGAATCTGACTGAGCGATTGATGTGTACGATACGATTGCTAGAGCGGAGTTCTGTGGGTGGATTTGGTTCCATTCATCAGCACTGTCAATTGGGGCGTGTGAGTTTAACCGAGATTCCCTTTTAGTCCGGAAGACTAGGGTTGACACTGAATCCTGCCGCAGATCATCAGGAAGCAGGCGGGTGTCACTGATGCACCTCTACTCTCAGCTCTGGAGGGGAAAGAATGAACTTTATTTGATCTGTGCATCGGCAAATTCCTCGCCATCGTTACATTTCACATTACCGCCGAGTAAGTGTTTAACTTGTAGATGGAAGGTTCATGGATCATGTCCACTTGGGTTAAATTTTTTTAGTGCCGTATGGCGTCAAAGGATTATTTGTTTTGTTAAATGAGAGTGAGGCGTGCATTTTGATGCACGTTGTTATGGAATGTAATTTCCATGGTTACCATCTTATCTATCTTGTCTCTGTACATTGTATGATCTTGTCTCTGCTTTCCTTCATCCCGGTTTATTTGCTGTATTTATTTAATCATTGTTTCAATTACGGTTTATTATAGCGCAAGAATGTACTGTTCTCTTCTGTAATATTAAATGTTACTTTTAGTTTGATTGGTTCTCAAATTACTTCATTTCTAAGGTTCGTTTCTGTCACTGTTTCTTTATTCTTGTTTTCTGCCTAACCTCTTATCTCTGTGAGAAAATGCTTAACACTCGTAATTGGCAAGGGATCCTCTTGCTTCAGAGAAACTTCTGGACTTAATGCCTAGGGTCCTTGTATGAGGGTATTCAGGGACCCTAATTTTACCTGGTCTGTTTATTAAACTTGTTTTTTCTCTGAGGACAAAGCCTACTCTAAGGCAGATATTAATGTAGCATGGTGAGCAGGAAACGAACTTTCGTCATAGGCTTTACACAGAGTACTTTTGATACTTCTTACTTATATATTCGAAATTCCTCATGGTCTTCATTACTTGGAATTCCTTATTCTATAGGTAAAAGAAGAGAAATTGTGCAGATTTTCCTTTTAAATAAAAGAGTGTCAGAGTTTAAAAGATTCCGCCTTGGCCCGAAAGGCTAGGGTTTATTGAAAATCTTCCTGCGGGTGTAGAGTGCAGAGAGTCTGCAGAAGGGAACATCGATGCTCCCGACTGCACGCCAGACTGTTTCTGATGGAAATTCTGCAGGATTTTTCATCAACGTTACTTATAGAGCTCAGGAAGGAATCTCTGCAGAACAGTAAACTCGTTAATCGGAGTCAACTGAGTTGCAGTGCTGAATTCTTTGCAACTAGGGTAAGTAATCTCTTTGTTGCAGATGACGCAGTCTGATGATGGAACAACTGATAGTGCCTCCATTGAATACTGTGAACCCTCTTTTTTAGTGAAGAAATTTCCTATCCAAATCAGCGGTGCTGATTTCACTTTTCAAGTCCTGAAATCTGAAGGATCTCTTTTGATTTGGGTCGGTGCCGAAGGTGAAGGAAAACTCGTCGATCTCTCGCTAGGTATACCTACCAACTACGATCAAATGCCTGCCGTAACTAGCGTTTTTGGAGACTTCACAGGCCATGGGTCTTCAAATCTAGCCAAACGCCTCTCTCGTCTGTTGAAGAAACCTGTCTATATGAGTTGTAATGTTGCATTCGACAGGCTAATACTGCCAGCGCTTGAGAAAAATCTGATTGAATTGATTAAGAGTAACCCAGACTGTTTCTGAACATCCAGGAGAGAGCAGCCTCTGAAGTTCTATCACAATAACACGTAAGTCTGTGATGTAATCAAACTTGTAAGTTTCATAATTTTACCTTCCAATCCCACTCACATCAGAGTACTTAAGATAACCACCGTTTTTTATAGGCGGGTACTCATGCGGGGTCCAGACAATCTCCCAGGTAGGGTGTCGCATTTCGGATATTGGAAAATTCCGAGCATTGTCACTGGACATTTTCGATTTTTTCGTGATTTTCGTTGAAAAGCCGGACATCTGAGATCTATGCCATTTCGAAGAACGGGAGAAACAGGAAATCTGGAATAGACAAAGTTTTTATCCAGAAATTAAACATTTGTGGAAAGAACAAGAATTTCAAGAGGCATGAATATATATTTCAATAAAACATTACTTCAAAATCAAGGGATCCAATTTTTTCAGTATCATACTTATTGGATTAAGAGACAAGCTTGAGAGCAGCATCTACTGTCAGACTACTTACTACTTCAAATTACTACTTACTACTTCAAAAAATTTTCCCAGCAGGCTGCTTGTTGAAATTGATAGACAAAGGGGACATAATGAGTAAGGAGTGATCCTATTGATTAATTTGAGTGGTTCTAATAGACTAAGGACATTAAGTATGGACTAACTTAAGGGTCTCTGGTGAGATGTCACTAGCCTATTTCTTACCTCCTTTGTCCATTGCAACCCCCCTGCTTCCATCAATAGGATTCCTCCAGATCCTATCTGTCTTGCTTGTCTATAGCTTTGTCTATCAATTTCAACAATCAGCCGGCTGCTCATGTCTCACTCGCTCGAAGCGACATCTGCACGACAGGACTCAAGTCGGACATTCCGCCAGTTTTCGAAATTTCCGTTGGACGCCCAAGTGGCAGTGATCGCGATGCAAAGCGATTTTATTGGTTGGCTCTTGTGATTTTATCCAAGTTTTCGCGATACCTTCAACCTGATACCTTGATACCTTCGTATCAAGTATGTGATTTTATTAGGGGAAATGGCCGTTTTTAAGGGGCACCATTTTTGGGGGGTGGAGTTTCTGTGATAGATGTGAGAATTGTGTATTTATTTTATTGACTTACGTCGTGTTCGACGGAGGCGCTGGGTGGCTACCGGGAGTGATTGGGGTTCTGGCTGTGTGTCCGGTGCTTCTGAAACAATGGAAAATTCTGTTAAAGGGAAGGATCGGAACTTAGCGTATTGTATTTAAAAAAACGTCGACGTTACAATATCAATATATCGCGTTGTGGAGGTGTGACGTTGGGTTATCCTGGACGGCGGATTGTCTGGGGATATCAGGCAGTTTTTCATTGTTGGCAACAGCTCGTTAGCCACTTTGAATTTCCAATTAA